ATTATAACAACAAAGGACCTCCGAATTAAACAAATGATGCACCTGATGGAAAAATATTTACGCATAATACAGAACATTTGAACTTGCAGGATGCTTGTCGTGTTCCCCAAGCGCTGAGTGGGTCCCGAGAATAAAAAAAGACATAGAGCTTAGGAATTCAATAAAGGTAGCCAAGGGAGAGAAGAAGCCAACATAATTAGAAACGTATACATCAGAGAAACAGATCCCAAGCAGGCTCCTCAAATGGCTGAAATATTTACAAAGAAAATAGAGTTGAAATAGAATCTATCAATAGTACCCCCTTCCCTGATGGAGAAAACATCAAGGAAAACGTGAACTTACCTATCTGCACGGTAAATATTACGAGTACTGGAAGCATAACCACCATCAGTAATACTAAGCAGCAATTAACTGCAATCGTACAGCGCAAAGTCTTACACGGATACTGGTGCCGAAGTATCAGATATAAAAAAATGCTGTCTCAATACAGACACGCATATAGAGAGCAGAGAAAAAGTCATAATAATTGGCGTCACACAGGAAGTACGCTGCACGTTAGGGACAACTAAAAGACATCTTCACGGTATCATAATGAATCTGCATGTAGTTCCACATTTACCTTTCCGATAGAGATGGAAAGCATTATTGACTAGAAAGCGCTTAAGTTATATAATGGCCTCAAAAGGTATCAGAATTGTGTTACTAAAACCACAATATTCTAAAATCCCTGCAAAGTTGAGGAAAATAAGATTTGTGGTATAAAAGATGATACCAGCACCGTGCAAGTCGGCTGGGTCCCTCTACAAAACATAAAAGAAGGAATCTTATTTGGAAATCTTATAGGAGGGAAAAAAAAAACTCAAAAATGTATGTGGAAATTATAAACATAACAGACAAACAAATTGACGTGCCAGTACAAGAGGTGGATGTTTTCGAATGTGAAATCGCTGAGGATGACGCTGAAGGGTTAAACGAAGCGATGATCGGATTAATACTAAAAATTCAGATAAAAATAAAGAAAGTAATGAAGTTATAAAAGAAAAAAGTTTCAGAAGCGGTAAAAATAATAACGATGTATACAGTGACATTAAAAAATTCTGAAGATATAAAGAAATCGGATATAGTGGCTCGAGTAAACAAAATAATCGAAATTGTCCATACGTCTGGCTGCAATATGGAGGAATTAGACCACATCTAGAACCTTACAGATTACAATTCTTTCGTATTTGGCCTAAATAGCAAGGCACTAGAGGCTACAAACGTACTTAAACATAGAATAATAATGTCAACAGAGAAACCAATCGTTACCACAAGGGTACGTTATCAAATAAAACTAAAGGAGCAAATGCAAATAAAAATAGACAAGCTGCTACAACAACAAGTAATTAAACCCTCGACATCTTTATATAACTTTAATATGTGGATTGTCCCGAAAAACGTGGGAAAAAGAGATATACACATGTGGACGACATCATGGTATTCGCAGGAAACTTGGAACAACACGAGATAATATTCAAAAGGCTCTAAAACAGTTAGCCAACGCAAACTTCACAATAGAAGCGAGCAAATGCCAATTTCTTAGGAAGAAAGCAAAAGTGCTCAGTCATATTGTAGGCAATGGCCAGATCAAAACAAATCCAGAAAAAATTAAAGCAGTAAGAAGTTTTCCTGAACCGACAAAAGTGAGAAAAATAAAAAAAATTCCTTGGGCTAACTGGGTACTATTAATGCTCCATAAAGGATTACGCAAAAATAGCGCAAACTCTCTCAAAGCTTACAAGAAAAACAGCCGAATTTAAATGGGAGGAAGAACAAGAACATGCGTCTATAAAACTTAAAAACGCTCTGTGCAGTGAGCCAGTACTGAAAGCCCCAGATGTAAGAAACCCTTTATCGTAACAACCGACGCATCCGACTACGCTATCAGAGCAATTTTAAGCCAGGGAGAGATAAGTAAAGATCACTCTTGTGAATATGCGTCCAGATGCTTAAAAGGCATCGAATTACGATATCCTACCTACGGTAAGAAATTCTTGGCGATAGTGTACGCCAAAGAGTAATTTAGGCCATATTTGTTCGGTCGTAAATTTATAGTCGTAACGGACCACGAACCACTCAAGTATTTCCACACATCAAAGAAACTGGACTTAAGATTCACAAGACTAAAAACAGAAGTCCAGGGATATGAGTTTGATGTTGTCTGCAGACTTGGACAGAAAAATAAAGCGCCAGATGCTCTTCCTCACAATCCAATACTAAAAGGAAGGGAGGAAAACCACGCCAGAAGTTGTATGAGCTTGCGAAAGAGTAGGAAAGGGACAATCGCGAAGACGTGAACGTGCCATCAGCACGACTATATAAAATGCGTACAAGAAAACAGAGGAATCCAATACGAAAGAATAAGAAAGTCAAGATAGAAACATCGGATTGAGAAGAGTCAGACGAGAACGTAATTTAAAAAAAGCCCAGAAAATTATGAAAAAGCGAGCACATATCAAGCACCAGCAGTTACAGTGATAGAGATACAGTATAAGAACAGGAAATGACGAGTAAACCAAAAAATAAGACAAAAAAAGACAACCTTACAGTGGTAAGGGACAAAGGAAGATTTTTTTTGCAAGGATCCACAGACAATATACTAGCGTACATACGCGAAGAAAAAAATGTGGAAAAAGAGGTGAAAACAACGAGCACACCATTTATAAACGAAGGTATCGCAAAAAAAATAGAGCATAGAACTCATAAACATCAATTGGATACATTACATAGGAAAATCCCAGACTTTTCTTATACTGTCGAGCATTCGCACAACTCAAAATAGATTATTATTGCCCATTGCAATTTAGCGGCAGCAACACAGAGGAAACCCAAGCCGGCAGAAGACTAGGGACTCCAACTATCGTAGAATAGTGAGTCAGCAGAAAGAGCAGGAAGAGAGGGAGATAGAGGAAAGTTAGAGACGCAGCAGAAGAAGCGGCCGCAGCAAAAATACCTGGTATAGGCGAAGAAAGCAAGAGAGAGAGAGAGAGAGAGAGAAAGAAAGGGGAAAGGCTGATGGAGAGCGCATAAGGCCCTCACCTGAACTACCACCACCCCTAGATCCTTGAAGTGACTGCAAGCTATGAACTAACGACAATACAACAAAAATAGTTATAATAATAATAATAATAATATTGTAATAATAATAATACTAATAATGATAATAATGATAATAACATAAGCAATATGGAATACAAAAATATTGAGGCTGGTATACCAACATAGTTTTGTAGAGAAAGGCAGGATACACTGAAACATACGTGCATAAATACATAGGGAAGAGTGTTTTTTTTTATTAGTTCGTGGCCCTCAGACGCACCGTTAGTGAACAACGGATTATACGGTAAGAAAATATAAAATAAAAAATAACTGCGTAACCAACAGACATTTAATCAATCAACACCCCTCTTTCTAAAAAAAAACAGTATTGATACAATACGTACAAAAAAAAAAAAATTTTATTATGGCCCTTGGACGCACACGCAAAATAAAGGCAAAAAAAAGGAAGAGAAGAGTACACGTATGTCAAATTTTTCTGGTTGTACAACACCCAATATACGGACAAATAAGTAATAGAATAAACGAGAAGGTATTATATTTTGTAACCCTTAACAAGAAAGGCATCGTGAGATAAAAAAAAAAAAAAGGAAACAACGAGAGATATTGTTTATAGTGAGAAAATTACATGCTTACACTCAAAACTGTAGAAAACAATATAATAATACTACTGACAATAAATAAATAAATGATCATTACTAGTATTGTGTTTCTGTAAGAACAAAAAAAGAACATAGAAAAAAAACAATCAAAAATAAAAACATTATGAACCCATATAGCTATAGAAAAGTAAAAATTTAATATGAGGCATGAAAATGTAAGTATAAAAGAGGTGCAAGATATAACTACCGAATAGAACAAGTCTATTTACATAACAAGTAATTAACAGATCAATTTTCCCGTAGTACGTTGGGTGCAAAGATTCAGTATATTTACTCAACATGCCTTTTCCTTCTTCATTGCAATGGTCGCATTTAAGTGCCGTTTTCAATGATAGGGACCCCTTTTACTAATGTGTTACAGATTGTTACAGATAACGACCAATACAACAGAAAGCGAACAGTATATGAGACATCATTGGAGAGCAAGTTCGCTCCGTGACGTATAGGTCAACTTGAAAAATTAATAACGTAGAGGGAAAAGGAGGATATCGGTAATGATGAAATAATACTTAAAGAAGAATGAATGGGTATAAATAGTAACAAACAAAAAATTTTTTTAAGGACCAGTGCATACTTGACATCGATTGTAAAACATTGCAGGTCCTAGTTTCTTATATTAGTATGTAATAAAAAAAGGTAGAAAATAATCAGAATTATGAATTGTTTGTGTCACTCATACATGATAATAAATATACTCCTTAACAGACATTTTTAAAGCGAATATATCGTATAATAAAATAAAAAATATAAGCAGTGATAATAAGCAAAAAAAAAAAAATAAAAGAAAAAAGTTTAGTACTCACGACGATTAAACTTTGTGAGTACATCGCAGCAACGTATAAAGCTTCATACACAACTATGTATTATTATAGTGTAGTCAGAAAAAAGTCTTGTTACTCTTTTTTGTCTAGCCCCTATTAACCCAAGTCTCATAAAGCGAGAAAAAGAATTTTGTTCCAAAAATATTGCTAATTAAAAGTTGTCACTATTTTATAAAACTGATATCGTTTTAACAACGTTTCAGAATAAAATACCGTAAAAATGGTTATTTTTCTCTTTTATAGCCGTTTTTCACGCTGAAACCTTATCATACGATCGTGTCAATTACTTTAACCAATACAGCATGAATAATACTAAAGTAACATAATTCCATCTCAGTGATTGCGTATTAAAATTACACTCACTACATACTTTTTGTTTTTATTTTTTAATAGTTTTGTATGATTGCACAATTACTTACAGGTAAAACTAGGTACCACAAATCTAAATACTAGCACTGATGATGAGCAGAACATCAAGGTTAAAAAAATAATCTATCATCCTCAATACAAGCGGAGTTTCAACTACCATGATATTGCCATTATTGAACTACAAAGAGAGGTAACGATAACTAAAACTGTCATGCCTCTATGTCTTCAATTAAAGCCACTATCGAATTTAGATACATTAGCAAATCAAGATGTGTTAGTTATGGGTTGGGGAGCAACGAGCTTGGAAGGTGATGGTAACAACGAATTACAGAAAACTTCTAGTTTAGCGTAAGTTTTTTTATATCCATTTCATTCCATTAGTTATTCTATTTATAGATTAAGATTTTACCTAATACTTTTGCACTATACATATAAATATAATAAAGTGAAGCAAATTTATGATAAAAAATTTTACTTTACGTTATTTTAAGTAAATACGCGTATATAAAATATGCTGTAGAGACGTTAATTATATTTTGAAAACTTACTGTAAAGAATACTAAATCACTGATAATGAAACGACGCTTAAAGAAGAAATAAGAAAAAATAACCAATTAAAGTTTTTATTTTTTAATGGTTTTACAGTGGAATTGTTAGTTCTATTCACATGCTGGTTGTCCGATTTATAGATTAAACAAACAGTAAAGCCAAATTTCCTCTTTTTTAATCATAAACAATTTAATAAAGGTCTTGTATTAAGTAAAAACAAGTCAATAACGGAACAATGTACGTCGGTTCCTAATAACGTAGCAGCATGAATAAGATACTCATTAAATTAGTAAGCAGGAAATTATGATAATTTAGTGTCAAAAAATTATAAGATCAACATTAAAAGATGTAAGGTAGTGGCTCATTAGGTTACGAAGTTGGAACAAAAAAAATCATTGTTTAGGAAAGTGCTGATTGAGAATTTCAACCTAAAACTAGTTTTAAAAGGTACAAACAAGAACAAACTTTTATTGCACTCACAGTTAGTTTTACTTTTTTTTTTGTATTGTTACCTGGTATTTACTACAACCTACTGGCCTAGTTACCTGGGGCACAAGTTTACCACCTATGTGTATTAACGCACTCATTTACCAACTACCTAACTGATACTATACCTGTTATACTATCAGTATAGTGGTAATATTTCTAATAAAACACTTTGCCATTTAAGATGGCACTCTCTGCACCAATGGTAAATCGGATCCACCTACCATAGTGTAGCACTTCTCTGGAAAATACTTCATATTTTAGGATCATTCACTATTCCCCAGTGTAGCTGGCCCCATCTGCCAAAGCATCAGATTCAGGATAATTAACATCACTAATGAGGCCCCATGTTTCAGGAACCACTATTTACTCATAAGGCAAGCGCTTTCTGCCAAATAACTAGTATCTAATCCACTTATCACCCTACCTACAGCCCTAATACTATATCACATTTTTCTAGGACCAAAGACCTATGGGGCACGAAAAAAAACCTGGAATCACTATTAAGAAAAATTCTATGGAAAATCTAACCCTAGAACCACCAGAAATTCATAGGACCTTTTTTCGATGAAAACAAATTTTTGACAAATCTGTATTCACTAAAAACCGAGCTAAGGACTCCTAAAATAATATTGTATCGGTACCAAGCATGCTTACTACTGAGCCAACACTGCTCCACATGATCAGTTTCATTATTATTTTTAAAGATAATTATTCTAATAGATAGAAGATGATGATATCCCAGGTGCAAACATAGTAATGGTAGCCATTCTGTAGTGCTGTGCTGGTTAATAGAATATTAGATGCACAGAATACGGTGCACCTGCGTGGTAAGACAAGGACAGATATTTGACCTCGCTACGAAGCTGGCATCGGAGCAGTACGGCGCAGCGTGACAGCAGCAGACTCTCGTCTGCCAAGTTACCAAAAAGCCGTAAAGCTGAAATCCCAGTGCCACACACACTAGCAAGTCCTCACACGGCCACCCAAGTTTTTCAGCGCTCTCGACGTGGATAGCATCGCTGAGGGGATTGATAAGATCGTTCTCAAAGATATGCTGGTAGGTAAACATACATAGAATTAGTGCTGTGCGTTGTAGTGTATGGAAGTAGTCGTCCAATATTACCCGGTCCTACTATCTGAGAATCAACCCAATCCCCCTACTGGGAGTTAATATATGAAAAAAATGCTAAGCGTAACGTATTTGAATCATCACAATAAGCCACGACGCCAAGGCCGTCGCCTGTGTTGTGGGCCGCGTCCGTTTTATAACTTGAGTAGCTACTAATGGAATTGAAAAATATACTTAGTTAACATAAGAATGTTGTCTTAAAATATTCTCTCGAATTAAGGAGTGTCAATTATAGCAGCCACTGGTTGTGACTTAAAGTGAAAGGTCATAAGCTAGTGTTTCTAATAAAGTGAAAAAAACTATTTTATATCGTTAACTACACGATACTACAAGTTACTGCAGTTGATACTACACAAGACCTTAAACGACCCAATCTCCTTCTGAATATAATTAACGATAAGTAATATAGTAAATAACAAAGTGCAAAATACACACGTTGGTTACAATCCCCGGCTAACGTGTAATAAAATGGCGCTCGACACTGTTCTCTCCACGTTAAGTGATTGAGCAGAAAGGATCGGGAGAACGGCTTCCTCAACTCTCTAGTGAATATTGTAAGTAAAAAACGCTGCTAGTGCAGTCACACGTTTAATTTAACATACACATAATATACACAGAGCACATAACAGTTTTACAGTCAATTAAAATAATATTCATTATATTTGAAAGATCAAGTAACAATCAAATAGTAACACGATTTCTTTATTGTAACGTTATTTCTTCATAGTAGACTTTAGTACCTACTTTACTGAGAAAACATTAGACTCTATTAGTTACAGTGATTACTAACCTGCTAATTTTTTTTTTTAATTTTTTTATTAATTATTGTATGCGTGTGTTAAACAATCAAAATTTATAAATATATACATACGTATCCCAGACGGCATCCACAAATCATAAAGAATTCTTTATGAATTCACCAAGGAACTTGTTTTTGTATTTGCAAAGTGTTCCTAAAGTGTTCTTAGAGTATCACTATAATATTCAACTTATATATCATATGACATATCCCCTCTTTTGAATTCTTTACAAGTTCGCCAAGAGTTTTTTTTTTTTTAAATCCTAATTCATAAAGAGCTCTTAAATACACACTCTTCAATACACCGCACTGGATTATTTAATACGATTGGTTTGCTCTGATTTCTCCAAATCTTATAATTAAACCAATCTAATACTACGTTTGTAACAAACAAAAGATCTACTCTATGTTACCTTTTTTTATATATTTAGACCTACTAAATCTGTAAATCAAGGGTGCTTTCACGAGTGTATAGTCCCTCAATTGTTATCAACACACTTTGTAACTATACCATTTTAGAGATAGTAAATTGCATCACCTTTGATACATGGCAGTAGGTTATTTAACATATTGTTTTGTAAAAGGTATATTCTTACATAAAAAAGCGTACCTATAAAACTAAAGTAATATCTGATGGTATGTACAATATAATCTACAAACAAAAATGAAACTTCTTGTAGTCCCTCCATTTGGTGTTAGAGAAGGTCAAATATTATTTATTATTTAAAATAACGTCCAAAACGTCCATTAAATAAAAGAATTTAAAAAAAAGAGATTCAGATTAGACTCTACAGCAGATTATTAGTTTGACACTTACTATCAACTAGGATAATAAAATGAAGAAGAAACTCTTTATCAAACTTTCTGGTAATATACGTTAGAAAAATATAGTGTTAGTGTACAAAATAGTCATAAGGGTTTCCTATCAGAAGTCTTATGTGCTCTACACCCAGCAACTGGCCATTTATCCGTAGTAAATCATTATATTCTATGAAAGTGAACTTGAATTTGATAGAATACTTTGCAGTTTCCATTCAAAAAGATTAAGAAACTAAAAAAACAATACTCTACTTCTCTTCATATACTGTCTTCTATGAAGAATAATAGCCATGTCAAAACTGCTTGTAGTGAAATTTTTTGTGATAATGAAGATTAGTAAAAGTGAGGAAATATTATGTAATATTAAAACTATATCTCTCTCTTGCTCTTTTCACGCATCTTTAAGTAGAAGGTCTTTTCTACTCTTTTCATTTCTTTATATTATTCTCTCTCAGTGTTTCAAAGTTTGTTACGCAAGGTATAAGGGTATTGACGAGTCCTGAGATTGCAGTGGGTGGGAGAATTAAGAGGGCAGGAAGGTCTTGCTACTACTTCAGGTGGACACGCCGGGCCAGGTCCAAACTATCTGTATGTATAGAGTTGTCTCTAGTTGTTAAATGCGATCTCAAGTATTTTGGGTAACTGTGTATTATATTCGTCCAACTGGATTTCTTATCCTTCTCTTTATCATTACGCACGCGGGCATCTGGGTGTCACCATTTTTGGTTTAACTTTATACAGTTTTTTATTTCCCTAGAATTGTGGTCCGATAAAAACCCATAAAAAAATTTCGAGTCACACTGTATGAAATGATGCTCCCATAAAGATTTTATTGGTTTTTATGCGCCAATGATATAGCAACATAATTTTATTAGAACCTATGGGAAAAAGCCGACAAGTTTTTTTCTTTAAATAGAGTTAATAATTTTACTCTGTAAGTCCTATAGATAGTCTATTGGGGTTTATAGTAATATCCACTATTATAATTTTATGAGGTTATCCCAAAAGAAATTTTATTTGCGTTCATAGTTATTTTGTAGAAGCTTTTAGAATACAATGTCATTGTTAAAAACCTATAAAACTTTTATTGGAAAGTACTTGCTTGTACTGCTTTAAATTTTATTAGGTAACTCGTATCACATATTTATTGTATTTTATAAGTAAAAGCGCGAAGGTTGATCTTGTTCTCCAAGTTACAATTCAATGTGATTCAATTGGAATATACGGGTGCAAAAACCGATATTAAACCGATCACCTAAAAAAGTCTATACGAATTTATCCGTCTCCCCTGATTAAAGATTGTTGGGAATTTATCTGCTTAAGCCAACTTATAATTTTACTTTATTATTTAATAAGAGCAATTAATTTTATGGGAATTTATCTGCTTTAGCCAAACTATTATTTTAGTTTATTTTTTAATAAGACCATTGGCTTCTATAGGAATTTATGTGCTTTAGCCAAGTTATTATTTTAGTTTATTCTTCAATACGAACAATTAATTCTATAGGAACTTATCTGCTTTAGCCAATAGTACATTTCGTCCTGAATGTGCATCTCTCTAGGGAGG